AACTTTTCGCATTTTTTGGCGAACGTATTATTTTGAGTTGTGGCTCTTTTGAAGACGGTGTGCGATATGGTTAGAAAATTGCAAGACTGCGAATTTTGCAAGACTATCTGTATAAGTTGTTTCGTAGTAATTTCCCAAGTTTTTAAATATAAAAATCTTTCCTGACTTTTTTTAAAGCCCGAGTATCTGACGTTGACGTTGCATGACGTTGCGTTACTAAAGTTTCCATTGAAAAAAATTTTTTGTAGTATCACTTTGAAACGAATTTTTAACACGAATAAAACATATAGTGTATGTGGAATATAGTTTTTTTTTACTTAGGCGCCAACTAAGGGATTTGAAAGAAATCAGAGCATAAATACGGTTTTCCAAAATATCTTAAACCCGTCGGCACCTAGCCTTCTCTTTGTCTTTTCTTTACATCTCTACATATCACAATAATTTTTTGTATGCAAGAAAATTCACAACACAGTCCCCAAAAAAATTTCAGACGCATAAATTAATAAGTTTATTTTATTATTATAAGAAGTTTTTTTGGATGCACTCAAATTTAAAATCATTTATATAATCTCTTTAATTTACAAAGTAATTTAAAAATGTATTAAATATTTAATTTTCAAGCAATTGAGCATTTCAATTCAATACCTTTCACGACGATAGTACTATCGATACTATCGATGTTGTCAAATATCGTTTCGAAAACTATCGAGTGGCGGTACTATTGATAGTATCCCAGCTCTAGTAAAAAGTACCTCTTTGGAACTTCTGAGTGGAAGAGTCGCCATAACAGAATTCACAACTTTTTGTTGTTGCTGCCAAAAATTGAAATGTTGAAAGTTGATACGCCGCGATTTCAAACTTTCATAGAGTTTTCTGTATATTGTATGCAACCAAACTACTAAACGGATGGACCGATTTAATTCATATTAGAGTTGCGCTTTGGCCGACATATTCATAAAATTCTGATACACTGGGAGAAGGATAGATATCTACAAGCATGGCCGTAGCCAGGTAGGGTCAAGGTAACCGGTTTGGGCGCTGGGTTTTGGCCCCGCTACGTTAAAACCCGCCCAATGGAAAAAAAGCCATGCGTCGGATGATACCCCCTTCTTTTGATGACGATCACGGTAAACATAGGAAGGATTATGATTTGAGGGTATGCACCTGGAATATCCGAACCCTTACTCGGGCCCGGCTGGTTGATGTCCCATAAAATAAGGGCTGACGTCACCCCCATTCATAAAATGCGATGGGCGGGGCGACGAAGGTAAGCATGGTACCTTGCGACGTCTACTACAGTTGCCACGTAAAGGAGCGCAAGTCGGTGTTGGATTTGTGATGGGACGAACGTCTATCCACAATCCGCATCAAAGCGAGAATCTTCAACATCTCGCTCATATGTGCCAATGCCGCGATGGAAGAGAAGGACGAGGCATCCAAGGATCAGTCAACTCAGAGCGTACATATTAGCGCTGCTCCCGACACGTATAAAAATCGTGCTTGCCGATTTAAATGCCAAGGTGGGCAACGAAGGGATCTTTGGCCAGTGTCGGAAAATTCAGCCTCCACATAGAAACAGCGGGCTGAGGCTGACCGACTTCGCTGGGGCCCGAAACTTGGCAGTATGTAGTACTGGGTTCTAGCATAAAAGTATCCCTCAATCTACATGGCTGTCCCCAGATTGAAAAACGGGAATCCAAATCGAGCATGTTGTGAAAGGCGGAAGGCATGCTTCCAGTGGTTTAGATGTACATACGTACACTCCGAGGGCCAAACATCGACTCGCACCACTATATTGGTGCAGCCAATATACAACCCCACATCGGTGCAGCAAAAAAGGGCCCCAATAGTGCAAGGAAAG